GAGGCGGCTATTGCTTGGAGGGAGAGTCCCCCTCCCTACGACCACGTGTCAGTGGCGGAAAAATGGCCGCGGACCACGTGTCAAGGGGCGGAAAAATGGCCGCGGACCACGTGTCAAGGGGCGGGAAAATGGCCGCGGACCACGTGTCAAGGGGCGGAAAAATGGCCGCGGACCACGTGTCGGGCGGAAAAATAGCCGCGGACCATGTGTCGGGTGGAAAAATGGCCACGGACCACGTGTCGGGTGGAAAATGGCCGCGGGCCACGTGTCACGGGAGGGAAAATGGCCGCGTATCCTGCTCGTACCCCGAGGCGGAGTTCGCAAATTGAGGTAAATTTTTGCGGCCGGAGCTGGTCGTAACCCGAAAAGTTGGTTAACAGAGGCGTTCGTAACCCGAGGTTCCACTGTATTATCTTAATCTACACTCTGTTTACTAAACAATTATCTCTATAGTATATTCTACTACTATTGCTATTACTATACACTATACTATTACTTCTACCACTGAGCTATATTTGACCACTACTGTTCCTAGTATACTATTTCTGTTGCTCTTTTACTCTATTACTAGTATGCAACAGTGTTGTGCTCTCACAGACCCAAGTCTCTGTATTTCTCTTCCTCTAGGATTTTTTCTTCTTTTTCTTTTAATGGCCAGCTTGTAGACCTCTTGCACCTTTTTTACATCGTGCTTTGTCTTGCTTAACTGTTACATGTCCTTTCCTCTCGTTTGGACCTTCAACACCTGCTTTCGTTTGGCTGCGGCTGCTGCTTCAAAGACACACGTGTCTCCTCTCTGACCTGTTCCAAGATTACAGCTTTACTGGCACCTCTGCCTGCTGACACGTTTGAGAAGGCTCAAATAGGAGGGGAGGGAGGCAGCACAGGGGCCTGCAATTCTTTCTCCACAGCCTGTTCTTCCCCAGTGACCCAGCAAGGTTTTTGCCCTTTTTAAAATGCTGAGAATGCGTGGGCATCCTGGCAGTTGTGGGCATTTTATTGCCCATATCTCAGTTAAGAGGGTGTAATCAGAATTGCTAAAGATACTGGAAAAAGGGTTAAAAGCTTGATTCAGGGCTGCTATTGAGGAATGAGAATCAGGGCATGCATCTAAACATTAGGAAATCTGGATTTGGGGAGAGAAGGGATGTATCTGGGGTTTGTTTCATTCATTTCCCTCTTTTTCTCCCTCTCGCCCAGGCTGCCTTGCGTCGGGCCAGTGCAATTCTGCGCAGCCAGAAGCCGGTGGTGGTGAAGAAGAAGAGGACTCGGGCTCCCAAGACGGCATAAAAACAGTTGTCAGATTATCCAATAAAGGAATAAAACCAGAGAGCAGAGTATCTGAATGTCATCCATAAATCTCTAATAATAGGATTACTTCTCCAAGAAAATGAACTTTGCTGTTTCCATTTACTCTGAGAACAGAATAAATGTCCTCAAAAATTGCTATTTCTGTAATGGGATGGGATTTGTAAAATAGCATGGATTTGCAACTTGAGTTTTGAGTCATGTTTGATTTTAATTAATTGGGGTTGCTTTTTTTAAAAAAAATCGTTCATTTTCTTGTTCCTTGGTGAAGTGGCTCTGGAGTGTGGGAGAGGGGTGCCACACCTCCCCAGGATGCAGGACTGGGTTGTAACCTAGTTTATCACAATAAATCTCTTGAGGAAGCAGTTTGGCTGTGTCTTGGCAGCTGCTCTTGGTGATGTCATGATTCTGGTATTTCTGCATCAAGAACATTCCTGCGCTCGCCATCTAACCCTATCCATGTAAGCCTTTTTGGTAAGCATCAAGCAGGATGCAATAGGAAACCAGTGTAGTTTTTTTTTCTTTATGAGGCCTTGAGCAAAATCATCAGGAAGGAGCCTTAAATGTGCCATGGAAAGGGAGGCCAACCTGTTGCCTCCTCAGTTGTTCAGATGCAGTTGAACCAGGAAAGTTGTGTAAATTTATCCTGATCGCATTGTTCGTGGCTAAATGCATGTGTGTGCTACCTTTTTTGCTAGTTGTAAACTCTTGACTTCATTGTTTGCAGTGTGGGGTTACTGTAAATAATCCCTGGTAAAGCTAACTCCCTGTGCTGCTGAAATATCTTCCTTGCTACAGAAATAGCTGTTCCTCTGGAACGGAGCAGTAAAAAAAAATAGTCTGCGTTAGGGAAAAGGCAAAAAATGAAATAGATCAAGATCTTTGTGTCATCTCTAATAGAGAAAGTGGCATTTGAGGTTTTTAATTGCTTTTGTGACCATAGGGTGGCAGTTAAGAGCTGAAGCAAATCTCCAAGGCAAGGGTTTATGTTCAGTTTTATCCTTTTGTCCTAGATTTCAAGAGGTTGGTTTTACATACCATGGTCCACTGTTGCTTCCACCAAGTAATTAATTTTGGTTGATGAGAAACAAGTTCAGGGGACACAATGAAATCTGAAGGAAACACTTCGCAGTTGATACAGCAAAACTAATTGAAGAACAGAAACCTGATGGTTTTACTCTGTATCCATAGGTGGTCTATGCATTTGGCTGTCTCATGCCATGGTGGGTCTGGATACCTGTTGGGAAATTCAACAAGAAAGATGGGCCTTCCAAGGGGTAAACCCTTCGCATCTCTTCTGTAGCATAGGTTATGCTCTTAACAGCTGCCAAGAAGTGATGGATCAGCAATTGGAATGACTGGCGTCCAAAATTGAGCTGGCTGTAGCAGATTACCCTTGCAAGGCCAACGGAGCCAAGACTGTGATTGTATAGTCCTAGCAGAGCCTAGACAGGTCGTCTTGAACTTAAGGGGCGTATATACTCCATCTGTTTCATGGTCTTGTTCTCTTTCCTTGATGCCACAACTGAGGGGGCAGCTAAGTTGAAAGCAAATGGTTCTGCTCTATGGCACAGAGTCCTTCCCAGAATGCCTTCCTAGTACTTTGAGTTAAAAATGAAAAGTGTGTATATGTGTAACTATCTGAGAATGATGTCCATGGTTCCCTCCCATTTTTTTCTTCAACCCTCTCTACCTTGGTAAGTTAGGTTAAGTTAGTTGTAGTTAACCTAACCTTAACCTGGAGGAACAAACAATGTGGCTGTTTAGCACAGGGTGTTTTTTCGGACATTGCAGGATTAAGACGCTTGACTCCGGTGCCTAAACTGGCTGGAAGGGAAGCAGGCTGAAGAAATCCCTTTCTGGATTTCAACCCCTTCGTCTGCTTTGGCCATGGTGATGGTCCAGTGTTCTGTCCTGAACACACTTTCTATGCCCCCAACCCCTGGGTTTCATAGTTCCCTACTTCTTTACCCTTCCCATCCACACTGGGAAAGTAAACGCCAATCACTTGATTTTCCCTGTGAGGGAAAATCTTTGAGGAATGTGGTTTCCATGATCAAACTTTCTATGAGGTCTCCCCTCCATTGACGACTCCTTGTACTTAACACCTGCCCACCTGGTATGTCCAGAGGGGACTGATAAAAAAACAGTTTTACCATTCTTCCAGTCACTTAGGCTGGAAGGAGAAACACAGAACTCCAATTTCTGGTTTAAAAAAAAAATCTGTCAGGTCCTTCAACAGAGAAAAGCCCAGTCTTATCATTCCACTTGTTTAAAAACAAAATATTTAGCTTTTTCACCATTCCGTTGATTTTTTTTTTTTAATGTCTGGTGTTTCACCAATGAAGCAAAAGAAGAAAAGGTTCAGCAGAGGAGAGGGGAAGTTCTTGCCACAATGTACAGTAGCCAGTTAGACTGGAGGCGTTTGCTTACAATGGAATTAAACCCAGCAGATGAACTGGACAGCACCATTTGTACCAGCACAAGTCAGAAATCACTACTTTGGGTGCATAGCAGGAAAAGATGACCAGAAGTTTCCTTCCTGGTGACCTGGGGCAGGTAGAGGATGACTTCATGGTTCCCAGCCCTCAAGAAACCGTGGCTCATATTGACCTTGGTGCAACCTGGTGGTGCAAATGTACCTTGTGTCACCAGCATCAGCTGAATGTGTGTGCAATGAAGAATAATCTGCAAATTAGGCCCTCTGCTGTGTACTATTTAGAGTGCTGTGTTTAAGAGCAGGGAGCGAGCCAAACCCCAATAAGAAGATGCTTGAATGATACTCCACTTGCCCTAACTTTAAAAAGAAAAGGAACCTGTAATTTTGCAAAGAATAACGGGATAAATAATGGAAATAGAATAGAGCACCTTCAGTAGCAGAAGATTCACTTAAGCCCTTAATTTCTTTTTGAAAATGGCACAATCCCAGTTTTTATTTTACAGCATCCTTCTGCCGTTTTCCCCAGAAGCTCAGAATGATTTGTTTTTCTCACATCATCATAGGAAGCTTATTCATTGAGACTGCAGCTGGGGATAAGACAAGCACACTGATGCTTTGAAGAGAAGGTGGACCTCACCACTTTCCACTCACAAGACTCCCTAGTCACTTGCAGACTTTCCTTCCTCACCCCAGGCAGGAGAGGAGATGAAAATGGCAATTCTCAAAGAGTCTTGATTAGATTTGGAGGATCAAGTGATAGAAAATATTAACATATTGGTAAGCTAATTGTATCAAAATGGAAACCTATCTTGGTGATAAAAATTCACAATTTTTCAAGCCCTGCTGCACTTTTTTTTCCTTGAGGGTTGTTCTTTTTGAGAAAGGCTTTCTCTGCCTTAATAATTTATTAAGCTGCAAATGCCAAAAGATGCAGCTGCTGTTTTAAATAAGGGAGGTGAAGATTATAGAAATTGCAATGCACTTTTTTAAAGCCACACTGCTTAAAAAAAAATCCACGGTAGTCCTTAGTGGTCTGGGGTGACCAGCTTTCATATGAGATGTTTAATGAAATAATAGGAAATAATTATAAGCTGAGCTCAAGGGGACTTTTGTCCAGCTCAGGTTCTAGTATCTGATGACCTTGAGCAATGTCAGTAAAACTAAAAAGTGTTAGGCCTGGCTCTCACTTGGATGAGAAACCCTAGGGAAGACCAGGACGTGGGAAAAAATTCTAGAAGGCCACCGCCAACCTATTGTTGCCAAACAAACTACACAGATGTGTCCATCCACCAGGAATTGGGCCTGACATGAGGGAGACTTTCATCTTAATACAGCATTTTCAAGTATTTCACACTGCATTATCCCGCTGCGGTCTTCACAACAATTCTGTAAAGTAAGTTAGTTTGATTACTTCCTGTTCTGCGAGCTGAGAATGGGTTACCCGAGATCACCGCATTTCTGTAATCTTTAATTGCGCAATAATTGATTTCACAGAACATCTTTTTTTTCTCCTAGAATCCTTTCTTAAAAATAAAATATCCCTTTGAAAACATTTTTAACCATCTCCTGATTATGCAAAGAAAAACCCAAACCCAGTAATGTAAATATGTAAAAATAATGCTGCTTGGAGAAGAGATGTACAAGCCAGTCTAACTAAAGAACAGCAGACTAGGAAGTCAGGTGATGACCCCTTGGGCCATTCTAGGAAATTACTATTGCCCAGGCAAACCCCCAGTTAAGTAGCGCACACAGCAGAATCCTTCATGAGTTTACTCAGAAGTAAGAGCCTCTGAATTAAACTTTCTTCCTGGCCCTGCTCTGGAGGGTTTAATTCAGCATCCATAAACACGGGTGCACCTGCAGAAAGCCGCACATGGTCTGGGAACGCAGCTGCACCATTAATACAATGCCATGACCGAATGAACTCTGGGACTGCCTGTCAGGCTGGAGGGGCTGTCAGGAAAAAATGTGGGTGGATGTTTGTGTTTCTGATTTTCCTTCTGCCCTTCAGAGCAGGGCAACTCCTAGGCAGAGCCCCTGCCATGCCTGGAGAGCAGCGTGTCATTCATCGCCAGGAAACGGGGCCGTGCTCTCGGAACAATGCGCTGACCTGGGAGAGACTCCGTGAATGGGAGCGATAAGCTCTGACTGTTTATAAAAGGGCACCAAGATGGCAGAGATTGCGCCAACCCCAAAGGGGATTGTGTAAGGCTGTGTGCGTAGCCCAGGATTGGGAGGGGGGGGGATCTTCCTGTCCCCTTGGGATCTTGTCTTCGCTGCAAGGGTCGGGCCAAATTCCTAGCACAAAGTTGAGAAGGCTCTTTTCAAAAGCACCAGCCACCGGGGTCAGCCGAGGCCTGGACGGTGCTACTTTGGATGGATGAAAGAGATTCATGGGAACAAATGCACGAACCGGTGCTTGAGTGTGTGCAAACTATCCCCTTTGGGGATAAGCAACATTGCGTCAAGGGTAGGAAGGAGGAAAGAAAGAGTAGAACAATGAAATTAAAAGGAGGAGAGGAGAGGAGAGGAGAGGAGAGGAAGGACAGTTAAGGCGAGTTTACACCAACCCCTTTCACTATACAGTATTTGTCCCTACCTTTTTATCCCTGCCAATCATGTCCATACACCTCTTCACAGATTGCCTTTTGTTTTTAAACTTGTCATCTTTCTCTTTTTGAGGATGTGATCAACTCCAGCCAACCACAATGTTCTCATCTTTCCCTTCCTCTCAACCTACTCACCCTTCT